CACCGGCGGCATTTTGGGGAGGGCGCCTCCCCCGATCCATGGAATTGGCGGCCTCGCGCCTAATCCATGGATCGCCAATCCATGTCTGCGCGCCCCCGAGAGGAGGAGGATCGGATCGGATCGGAGGTCCGCGACGGGTCTCCATTGGAGAATCTGCCGGGGGCGTGCAACTCCCGCGACTGGAGCCGCAGGCCAACAAGCCTGCACGAGGCGGGCAATCAGGGGACAAGGCCAGCGCCTGCGACTTGCCACTCGCTCGACGTGAGAACGGAGGATTCGATTCGATTCGGCGACGGGGCACCATGCGGAGAAGAGTCGGCACCAGGAGAAAGAGAGCATATTGCAAGGCACCCGTGCGCCCACCCAGACTTCCTCCCGTTGGCCCCGTCTTCCCTGCTTGTCGATCCCCGCGCGGCTTTCTCTTGCAAGCGTTCGAGGTTCGAGCATCTTGATGCCCCATATGGTGAAACATTTGTCCTTGGCATTTGCAGCAGGATGAGCTCTTCCCTGTCTGTTGCAGCCGTGGACTAAGTGGAATGAGTCGGGCGCCCGAGGAACGGGAGTTGGCCACCGCGGTGGCATCCTCCTCCTCCTGGTCTTCCAGCACGAAGGCTTGCTGGCACCATTCGGCTCCGCAGGTGTTGCAGTGGGGGCGCGCATCAAGAAACCATGTGCTTTTCGTCAGGGTATCCTGAGTTTCTTCGCTCCTCGCGCTGCGCGGCGACTTCCCGCGGCCGTTGAAGAAGCTGCTGCGTTCAGGGTGCTCCGGGTTTCCCCTCTCCGGTGCACCTCGCGCGCGGGTTCTCAGGGTTGGGTTTCTTGCGAGCTAGGGTTTCTGTGGCCGCGCCCGCACTGTAATCGCCCTCCTCCTCCTCCTCCTCCTCCTCCTCCTCCTCCTCCTGCACATTCCTGTGGACGAGATTGTTGCCTCTGACTGGCCAGGCCGTTGGCATTTGCAGTCTGTTGCGCCCGAGGACGACACTTGCAATAGCAATACCTTTGACTTCTTTATGATCTCGCAGTGTCTCCTCCCATATGTTTTTAGAGTCCAGTTTAAAGCTGCAGAAGATTGTTTGATCAGCTCGCACCAGATCCCAGCAGGGGACGTGGCCAAGCACCCAGGCCGAGCGCAGGGATGCCAGTTTCAACTGATGCCGCTCCGTGCAGCCTGGGGCCGCGAGCTTGCGCGTCGCTCGACGGCCAGCACGGCGAAGTGGCTGCAGCTCCGACGAGTGCTGTCGCAGCTGCTAGGGCTGACCAAAAAGAAAGGGGGTCGGACGGGGGTGACTTGGGGGAGGCTCTTGAGGGTGCTCGATCAGGTCAGTCCCTGTTTGATGTCGGCGGAGGCCGAAGGGCTAAGCGCCATCTCTGGTTGTGAACTGTTGGAGGGTCTGCAGGATCCCGACAGGTGCCCAGACCTCGGGGCCGCCATTGCCAAGGAGGTAGGTACCAGGCTAGCCAGCGACGCGTCCCAGGCCAGGCAGGCTTGGCAGGATTTCGCTCAGTCTTCAGTGCTCAGGGGCGGGCGCATCGCTCACATTGGGGGCGAGGCCACGGTGTCAGGGCAGGTGGCTAGGGCCTTCAACTTTGTTGTTGCCGATGTGCAGGCACACAAGCTGCCGATCTCGTGGAACAAGGCGGGAGTGCAGGCCAACACCAGTGCACTTGCGTCTGCCTTGATGGCAGAGAGCTGCCCCCACAGTTGGCTGCCAGCCGAGAGTCAGCTCATAGAGATCTGGGGGGGGATGCGTCGGACGGGCGTCGGGGGGTCGACTGGGATCTGCGATGTTACTCGCTTGCCTGTATAGCAGCTCAGATTTCGTTCGCGGCTAGGCGCGCCTCGGACGTCCGAGCGCTAAGCCTGCAGGACGATGCCTGTGTCACCGACGTGTGCTGGAGGCCCTTACTAGATCTCCCAGAGGTGTGCAAACTGTGCGAAGGAGCTCGGGGAACCATGTTTCACCGTTGCTATGCCTGCCCCGCGCACGATGCTTTTCGACGGGACTGCATGCCCACAGAGTTGGCCAGATCGGTCGACAGAATGAGGCAGAGTCCGCCAGCTTGGAAGGAAAGGTTCGCGAGGGGGTTGTTCCCCGAGCCTGGCCAGTGCGTGGGGAGACCACCTTTCAGTCCAAGCTGGGGGATGCAGGTGCACGGCGCCCTCCAGCTGCCAATCCTCCTGGAAGGAGGGTACATCTTCACAGATGGGTCGGGCCTGGACCAGCACTACCCGCCCCGCAGAGTTGCAGGCTGGAGCGTGGTGCTATACGACTCCGACAGGTGCTACGTCGGAGCGATTTTTGGAGCAGTGCCGCCTGACATCGGCATCTCGGGAGCGGCCAGAGATGGCGAAAACTATGCCATGCTGATGTGTGCCCAGAATGTTTTGGGTCAGTTCACTGTGCGGGCAGACTGCAAGGGTACACTAAGTTGCTGCCAGTCGCCTAAATTGTCGACTTCGGAGTGCAACCCGCGAGCCCACCTGTGGAGGCGGGCGCATGCGCGCGAAGATTTCCGTGCTCGGCCGTTTGAGCACGTCAAGGCCCACACGTCGGCCGCCAGCGTTGAGAGGGACCTGATTTCGCCTTTCGACAGAGACGGCAACAATGCTGCAGATGGCTTCGCCAAGAGAGGGGCGGCCTATGCCAGAGCCGCCGTCTGTGACGTAGAGCTGGTAGAAGGATGCCAGTTGTTAGCCAAGCTTGCGGCCAAGTTCTCGGCCCAGCTTGAGGCCTCGATGGCCTCGTCAGAATTTCGGGACAATGTCGGGGTCGAGTACCTCAAGAAAATCGACCTGGCGCTGTGGCACTACCACGGTTTGTCGGTCCCAGAGGTCCCTGAGGCGGAGTCCATAGACGTGGTCCCCCCTCCTCCCGGGCCTCCTGCTCGTGCTGCTGCGTCGGAACCTCCAGGGCCCGCCTCAGAGGACCCCGTCTGGCTTCTAGACAAGGGTGTTCAGCCCTGGAGAGTGAATGGGCACGGCGTGGTGCAGAGCTCGGTGCCCAATGACTCCCCGATCATTTATTGCCCGTCGTGTTGGCAGTATGCGGCCACCCCGATGCAGCGAGGTCTTGTGGGTGTCTGCAAGAGGCCCAAGAAGCTCTCGGGTGGGTCAGCGTACACTGTCCGAAAGAGGTTGAAAGTAGGTTTTCATCCTGTGTTGCACCCTCTTGTGGCGCTCGGGCCCTCGGAGGCCCCGTCCGCGGAGACCAGGGGCCGTTTCTCCAGGGATTTCGGGGAGGCCCCTGGTGGGGCGGCCGCGGCTCTAAGAGCGCCGAGGGTGGTCCCTTTTTCGAAGCAGGCCGTGGCCCCTCGCCTCGGCTTGGATTCCGTGCTGCTCGCTTTTGGATTCAGCTCCAGAGAGGAGGTGCAAGAGCTTGGTCGGCAGGTGCTCCTTGATCGAGCCTCTGCCCAGGCCAGGGCGGCGAGTGCCGCGGACCCAGAGGCTGAAGTGTAAGCTTCTGGGGGGTGGGGGGCCCTGTCGGCTGGGCCCGCCCGAGGTGGGTCACAGCCTCGGGCGGGAACGAAAAGTTCTCGTCTGAAGGGCGCCCCCACCCAAATTTTCCTCTCCTCCCCCCTGACCCTTTCCCCTCTTATGGGCGGTGAACCTCCTCCTCCTGCTCCTCCTCGTCCTCCGCCTCTTCCACCAAAATGCCACGGGAAGAATTGTTCTTGGTCGCCCCCCCCGGGGGAGTAGAGATTAGCTTCCCCAGCGGGCCGATCATCATGATTCGGGCATGGCAAGAGACGAGAACAATCAGAAATAAGTTCCAAGTCTATCGCTCATCCTCATCCTTGTCCTTCTCCTCTTCCTTCAGGCGATCGCAAACATGGATTAAGGGGGCGTGGATTAGCGACGGGTCCCGCTTCCACGGCAAATCGCGGATCTCCGCCGCCGAGCGAGGCGGCACCGGCCGCGTTTTGGGGAGGGCACCTCCCCCGATCCATGGATTTGGCGATTGCGCGCCAAATCCATGGATCGCTAATCCATGTCTGCGCGCCCCCGATTTCTGGCGCACACCTGACGGTTCTGGAGCACGCGCCTGTGCACAGGGCGCGCGCTTCCTCGCGACATCTGCTCTGCACGCTTCGTCGTCGCGCAGACGTCGCGCACGACTGTCTGCGGCGGCCACTCAACCGCCACCCCTCCCCCACCCCCCTTCGGCCACGTTTACCCTGCACTCCTCGCCGTGCCGCCGGCGTCACGCACGATCTTACCACGCGGCGCCCGCGCGGCACCCCATGCCCTTCGGCGCTATTCATTCTGCACCCCCCGGCGACGTGCTGGCGTCGCGCACGCGGCGCCAACACTGCGCCCCAGCTGGACATTTCGCGCGTCTGCGTGTTACCACCGGCAACCTCCGAGCGCAGTTGATTTAACGAGTCTTCCCTTCCAGAGAGAAAGGTGGTGCTATCGCCCAACACGCATGAGGTTTCGGGGAAGTGGGTTGCGCCAAGAGTCAAACATTCGTTTCTCTTCCCCCGCCGCCATTCCTCCCTCTCCCTCCTCTTTCCACTCCCCTAAACGTCACTCAGAACACGTATGCCACTCCACCAACAACTGGGAAATCGATCCACAGAGGAGGGTCCTAAATTGGAGTTCCCCGTCAGTGTTGGGGTCTTTTCGGGCATGTGGGAGCCATTCTGGAGCTGCTTTGAAGCATTATGGCATTTCGAAAGAAATAGCAGGATGGATTTAGAGGCTCTGTGGGCCCCCGCGGTGCGCTGACGAGATCGTCGCCCACCCTCTCCCCTCGGACTCCTGGGGAGGGAAGGCCCTCGGACTCCTGGGGAGGGGAGGGCCGAGGGATAGGGGGACAGCCTAGCATCCCACGCGCTAGTTCACACCCCCCGCCGGCAAGCGGGAGCCAGCGGACACACACCTTCCGAATTGCGCCCTCGTGTCCGTCTCCTCCGTCACTCTTCCCTTTCCCCTCCCCCCCCCCGTCGGGCGCGTGTCACCCCCCCTGGGGGCAGGCACGCTGCTGTGCTTCGACGAGATGGCAATCACCACCATCCAGGCGGCTGGGGCCTCGGCCCCCCCCTGCGCTGCCTCCCTCCCCCATTCCCGCATCGACCCTTTTCACCCCCCCCTGCCCTTGAGTTCAGGGGCAACGTTGGGGGGGGGGGATAGGCTCAGGGAGTGGACGCATCGACCCCCCAATCGCCCACTGATTGCCGATGGGGGCCCGACAGCCCGCCCCGCGCAGGCCGCGGGCGCTTCCGCTGTCGGGGGCCCGTCGGTAGTCTATCGGCGATGTATCGCCGATTTCAGCGATGTATCGGCGATTTCAGCGATGTATCGCCGATTTCAGCGATGTATCGGCGGTCTATCGGCGATGTATCGGGGGCCCATCGGTAGTCTATCGGCGATGTATCGCCGATTTCAGCTCGACGGTTTCCCCCCCGAGCCGGTCCCCCGCGACCGTTGCCCCACTACATGTCCCCTCATTCTCATACAGCTGCCCACGGCGAGCACGGCTGCCTCCCTGCTACGACGACGTGCTCGGTTCTACAAACCCCTCCCAGATGCGTGAGTGGCTCGCCATCTTCATAGATTCTCGTTCGCAAGTGTTCCCCGCCACCGTCGACACGTCGTCGGTTGTTCCGATTGGCGCTCTCATCTTGGCGCTTGCCACGCTTCCGCCACCTGCACACGTGCTCATGGCGACCGCATTAATGGGGCCGTAGTAGATGGGGTCGTATGGTTGACCCGCATCGCCGAATATGTTCGATGTGGCGCAAGCGCTCATAGCTAGCCGCATCCCTTCTCTCTACCCTTCCCTTCTCGGTATCCTCTTCTCCTTACCCTCCTCGTTCTCGTTATACTCTTCTTCGTCGTCCTCCTCGCAGTCCTTCTTCCTTTTCTCCTCCCCATCTTCAGACACCTTCCCCGCGACAAGATCATGACGTATTAAGCAGAGGTTCCAGAGTCTTTGAGGTGGAATTTTAGAAGGAGGAGGGGAGGACGAGGAAGAGAAGGAGGGAGATGATGGCGGGATGAGGAGGAGCAACAACATGATTACCCAGTGACGTACCCAACCCATCCGAATCAATTGCAAACACCATTGGGCCTATCCGAAGCGATGCTGTGGCAAGGAGCACGACCATGCATGCAAGTTACATCGGGGTCCTACAAGTTGCACTCCTCACGGGACCGATATGGCAGCCAAGGAGGGCGAGGTTTTTGTTTAGGACCCCGTAGGACACCATATCGCTGGCCCTCCCACAAGCTTGCGGAATCGGCGTCGGTTACGAGGATGATACCCGAGGAGTGGAGCAAGAGAATTCATCAGACAAAGACCGCATTCCGCAGGAAGCACCATGTGCTCACGAAAGTGACGGCACTGGCTCGGAGGCGACGACATGGGCGAGCAGCCCAGCGGCGGGCATTGCGCGCATTCGCCCGGGAGCCTCGCCGAGGGCATGGACTGTCGGCGCTCTTGGATGCACGGGCTGCTCTCCCCTGGGCTATTCGCCCCCTGGGTTCTGCGCAGTTGGCCTCCGCCCCGCCACGGCCAGCCGTGGCCTGCTCAGACACGCGGTGGCGTGCTGACGCCGCCGGCCGCCGCTACTGGGCTCCCTCCCGAGGCCGACGCCCTGGCCCTGTTCACGGGCGGCCTCCGCCGTGCCCGCTGCTCTTGGGTCGCTCGGGCTCGAGCGGGGGGGGGGTCGCCTGCCCGGTGTGCGCTTGGTGCAGGCCACCAGCTCTGGAGGGCCCGTCTTGGCTTCCCAGATGGAGTCCGAGCAGGTGGGGTCGGAGGGTCGCGCCGCATCGCCGATGCATCGGAGATGCGGCTCGATGTGGAGCCCGATCTGCTCCACGCCGACGGCGCCGATGCATCACGGGCATCGCCGATGCATCGGCGATTTGGCGTGGTCTTCGGACCCCATCTAGGTGGCCTCTGTCTAGAGCGCCCGTCCGTTCGTGTTCCGCTCCTGGTGCGGAGCGCTTTCGAGAGCGGATGCTGATTTTCTGGCGCAGGTCTGCTGCTGCGGGGTGCACGCCAAGACTCGCCGACGGCTGGATCGGCTCTGGGCGGGCATGGGCCCGTTGGTCGGGTTGCCGCTGCAGCCTCCTGCGCAGCGCCAGCTGAGACCTGTGTCTTTCGGCGAGGGCGGCCTCCTCCCCCTCCGCCCCCTCCTCCTCCTCCTCCACCTGCTCCCTCTCCCCCTCCGCCCCCTCCTCCTCCTCCTCCTCCTCCTCCTCCTCCTCCTCCTCCTCCTCCTCTTCCTCCTCCTCCTCATCCTACTCCTCCTCCTCCTCCATTCCCTTTCCTTCTGAATAATTTCTCCCTGTCGCACCGCGAGGCCAGTTTTTAGGGCGGGCCGGGCGTTTCGCCTGAGACTTCCTCAAAATGTATGACCCTGAAGCTAAAAAATGGGCAACAGCTTCACAGATGGAGGGCGGGTGGTTTTCAAAATGTCGTTCTCGCCTCAGCGCCGCGCATATTCGTTTTTAAGTTTGCAAAAGTTTCACGGATTGAGGGCGACCCGTTTTCACAATGCGGCTCTCGCTTCAGCGCCGCGCACATTTGTTTTACAAGCTACCCCAGTGCGACCCTACCTAGAAGTTGGAGCCCCTAGGAAAGCAGCATTAGTTGCTATGCTATGCTATGCCATGCTATGCTGCGCTATGATATGATATGCTATGCTATGATATGATATGCTGCACTACGCTATGCTATGCTATGTTAAGTTATGATATGTCATGCTGCGCTGTCCTATGCTAAGATATGTTGTGATATGATATGCTAAGCTGCGATATGCTATGTTATGCTATGTTATGCTATGTTGCGCTATGATATGCTATACTATGTTATGAATGGCCATGTCATGCTATAATATGCTATGCTAATGCAGCGCTGCGCTATGCTAAGCTAAGCTAAACTAAGCTAACCTTCTTGGCAGAGCCTAGGTAGGGAACTACACCCATGCTAATGCTTTTGCTTTGCTTTGCTTTGCGTTGCTTGTGCTTTGCGTTGCTGCCGCTGCTGTTGCTTTGCCTTTGCTTTGCTGCTATGCTATGCTATGCTATGCTATGCTATGCTATGCTATGCTGCGTTATGCTGTGCTGCGCTGTGTTATGCTATGCTATGATATGCTATGCTGGGCTATGCTATGATATGATGTGCTGCACTATGCTATGCTACGCTCTGCTATGTTATGTTGTGCTCTGCTATGCTAAAGCTCGGCGAAGCTAAGATGAAGGTAAGCTGAGCACCGATAAACCTGAGCAAAAATGAAGCTAAGCTAATCTAAGATACAATAAGTTAAGCTAAGATGAGATACGCAACGCGAAGCTAAGGGAACGTCACTGGGGGAACCGCGGGGCGGATGCCGGGGGAACCGCCTGGGGCGGGCCCCACTGCCCGGCCCTTTAAGCTACGGAGTAAGAACCCTTCTAGGCAGAGCCTAGGTAGGGAATTTGCAAGAGTTTCACGGATTAACAGCGGGTGGTTTTCAGAATGTGGCTTTCGCGTTAGCGACGCGCACATTCGAAGCACAAAAAATGCAAGAGTTTCACAGATTGAGGGCGGCTTGTTTTCAAAATGAGGTTCTCGCTTTAGCGCCGCGCACATTCGTTTTACAAATTTGCAAGAGCTTCACGGATTGAGGGCGGTTCCTTTTCAAAATGTGTTTGCCGTTTGGGCGCCGCGCACACTCGTTTATAAGATTTACAAGATTTCCACGGATTCCCATAACCAAAGTATCAGGAATGCTGTTTGGGAAGATTCAGGATTTTGCGGGCGCAACAGTTACGTTGATCCGCGGTGTTGAAGCCCCAAGAATGGCGTTCTGGCACGATTCAGGACCGTCAAAACGCAACAGCCAGGTTGATCCGTGGCGTTGGAAACCCGGAAACAACGTTTGGGCATGCTTCAGGGTATTCAAGCGGTTGTCTTCCAAGGATTGGGCAGCTCCCTCAATGGAAATGAATTGTTATAGGGGCCTATGACGAGGGAGTTTGGAGGGAGGGTTTATTCCAACATCGTTGGCGACTCTTGGGTTTACATTGGTCCTCCTTCTCCTCCGCCTCCACCTCCGCCTCCTCCTCCTCCTCGCCCTTCATGCTCATGCTCCTCGCCGTTCTCATCCTCCTCGTCCCTCCCCCTGCGCTCTCCGCTCCTCATCCTACGCCGACGGCGGCGGCGGCGGCGACGCTAGCCTTGGCAGCGCCCCTGGCTGGTCAGGACTGCTGCCTGCTCACCCCGCTCTTCGGGGCCATGTGGGAGGCCCCCCCGCCGCCCTGCTCGCCGCGGCGCCAGCAGTTGTTGACGTCGACGTCGACGCCGTCGCCGTCCTCGCCGCCGTCGTCCTCGCTGTCGTCGCCATCGCCGCCGTGGAATGAGTGAGGGGTCATGAGGGATAGGGGAGGAGGAGGAAGAGGAGCAAGAGGAAGGCAGGCGGACGACTGACGAGGAGGATGGAGGATGGAGGGGACGGAGGACTGAGGAGGGTAAGCAGGAAGAGGACGATGGAGGGATTATATTGCTTCTCGCCTTTTCCGGGCCGCCTGGCGCACCACGTCACGCCTGGGCCTGCCGCGAGGTCTCGGTCGGAATGCGGCCTGGGAGAGGCCTCGGAGTCGTTGTGTTGCGGCCAGTGGGGGGGCGGCGAAGGAGCAGGCAGGCCCGGCTGCTTCTGCCGCCGGCGAGGAGGAGGACGAGGAGGACGAAGAGGGCGAGGGGGACGAGGAACAGGTGGAGGAGGAGGAGGAGGAGGAGGAGGAGGACGACGACGAGGTGAGGGGCGAGGGGCGAGGACGAGGACGAGGAAGCCGAGGCGACGCCTGGCGTCAAAAACTGTCGGGATGGACCCAGCCCGCCAGGAGACGCCGTGATTTGCTCTCTGAGCTCATTCGGCGTCCGAGCTCTTTGAGCGGGCGCGGGATCAGGCCTGCTCGGCGGCCGATCGGACAGAGGTTCCCACCGCCGTGGTGGAGGCGAGCCCAGTGGGCGCGGTCGCCGAATGCGCTCAGAAGGTAAGTCCTTCATCCTCGAGAGGAGGAAGGAGGGAAGGGGGGGAGGGAGGGATGGAGGGATGTAAGCAGGGAGTGGTAGGGAGGAGGAGGAGGAAGAGGAGGAGGAAGAGGAGGAGGAGGAGTGCGACGACGACGACGAGGAGGAAGGGAGGAGGAGTGACAGAACAAGACTTCTGCCTCGAGCCCCGTAGCAGGGGGGGGCAGGGGGGGAGATTGTTCAAGTAGGGTGACCTGGGGCCCAAGAGCGTGGAGGGATGCATGCCGCGCGGCTCGCAGCGTGTTGTGAAGAAAAGGTGGTTTTGAAGGAAAGGTGCCCTGAAGTCTTTGTGCGCTTTCAGCCGTTTGTACATACCCCCTGCCGCCGCATGCCGCTTGCCTGTCATGACATGCTTGGCGGCCAATGCAAGTGGGCGCAGAGGTGACGAATCGGACTCACAGCAGCGCAGCACGCCCCGAGTACCGACGCCCGTCGGCACGCTGAGGATGTGCGTGGCGACGCTGTGCTGCTCTGTCCCCTTCCAACGCGACGGCGGTGGGCGTCGGCGCGCAGAGGTTGCTAACACGGTTGTTCAAAACCCAATCAAATGGCTTTCGGCCCATGCCGCCATCGTGCCTGAGTTGTGGGTCACAGGCCTCCAGGATGTTCGCTGGGATGTCGCAGGAGGCCTCTCGGGGGCCGTTCGGGATCTTCTTGGGACGTCTTCGGGGCCCATTGGGGGTCTCTTGGGGCCTCGTGGGGGCCTCCTGGAGGCCTCATGGGGCGGAAGACTTGTTTACCTAACATCGAAGACTGATAGGTTTCTAATGGGCTAAAAAGAGAGCAGCACATTACTCCACAGGGGGGTCTGGGCAGCCGTTGGGGAGCCGTTGGGGATTTCCGGGGGGATCCGCGGAACCTCGTTTTTCGCAAACAGTCACACACTTCGTGCTCTTCGACCTCCCAGAACTCCATTCCCGGGCCACATTCTGAATGCCCGGAGCCAACTGTACGCCACCCAGAACTCCATTCCCGGGCCACTCCAATTATACTTCACTTCACTGTTACCACTACACCCACTACTACTACTACACTTCACTCGTTCACTCCCGCCAACTACAACTACTACTTCACTGTTACCACTGTTTCATCTCTCCTACTCTTATTGCTACTACTACTGTGACTGTTACTGCTGCTGCATGCCTCCAGCTATGCTTCTACATATCGATGTTAGGTTGCTTTGCCGGGATAATATTTTCGATTCGTGTGCCTCCTTCTGGACCCTTCTTGGGGCTGTCTTTGGGCTGTCTTAGGCGCCTTCCGGGCCATCTGAGGGCCCTCTTGGGCCGTGTTTTGGCCCTCCTGGAGGCCTCTTGCGGCGGTCTTGGGGGCCTCTTGGGCCCTCTTGAGGCGTCGGGAGCTCGAAAAGTCGAGGACCCAAAATGATTGAAAACTTACGCGAAAACAGTTATGTTGGCCTCACAGGGCCCGAGGAGTTGCCATTCGTACACTCTTCCGCCAACGCGTCCTGCCGGATGCATGGCTCAGTGGTGGTCACGGGGCCCTTTTGGGAAGGCTCTTGGGACGTTTCGGAGGCCTCTTGGGCCGTCTTGGGACCATCTTGGGCGTCTTGGTGCGATCTTGGGGCGTCTCGGGGACCTTTTGGACCGTCTTGGGAGCCTCTCGGGGCCCTGTTGGCCCGTCAGGGGGCCTTCGTGGGCCCGAAAAAAAGCGCGGGAAGATGCGCCAGAGCCCAGGAGAACCGCGGGAAGCCCCAGGAGATTTGGGAAGTTGGGGCCAAGGCCCCAGAACGACTCCTCAGGAGCGAGGACTGAGGCCGAGAGGATTAGGCAATGACTTGCATGCACGCCCACTCCGTGCCCAACGGCACGGTGGCGAATATTGCTTTCACCAGCAGCGTGCCTCTCCCAGGGCTCCCCAGCTCCTCTCTGCAGCGGCCCACCGGGGGCGACTGGCCGCGAGAGCTCCCCCAGTGACACAATGAGCGCACGCGGAGGGCGAGGCGACCCCCCCGGGGAGAGCGCCGTGCGGCCGCCCAGGTGGGGGGGGGGATGCCTCGGGCCAGAGCACGGCAGCTCCACACCTGCACCGACCCCTGCTGCGGCAGGAGGGCGCACACGCCGACCCGGGGCCCACCAGCGGCCTGGCCGGGAGCAGCTCGCGTGCACACGGGGTGCCCTCCTCTCGGGGGCCGCGGCGTGCCCGCGGGCCGCGCGGCGCCGCCGCCTGCCCGGCGCACCCCCGACCTGGCGGCGGCGGCGGCTTCGGCGGTCGAACAGGTTCAGCGGCGACGTGTTGATGACGGTGGAGGCGGCGACAGCGCCAAGGGAAGTGGATCTGCGCGCCCTGGGAGGGCTTCGGTTGGGCGCGGTTTCCCGTCTGGCCCAAAGTCGCTGGAGGGGAACGAGGAGGAAGAGAGGGAGGGAAACGAGGAGGAGGAGGAGGAGGAAGGAAAAGGGGGAGAGGAGCACGCGGTCCGCCCTGCCCTGGGTAGACGTTTCGGTCGGGCCGATCGGAGCCTCGGGCTCGGCCTGCGTGCACGAGCTTTCCGCCGCGGCCGCGGATGCTGCGCTCCGGCGCTGGGCGCTCGCGGGCCGCGCGCCTCGACCCGCCCTGCCTCCCACGGGCAGCTTGCGGCGCGACGCCGGCGCGCCCGCGGGCCCGCGGTTTCCGCGTCACGAGGAGCACGGGCTTGGGCCGGGAGACGGTGTTTGGGCCGCGTCTTTCTGGAGGTAGGAATCGACTAGACGTAAGAGTGACCTTTCGCTGGAGTGACCTTTGGTGCGGGCACAGAGGGGCCCTCAGATGGCTGAAAACGAAGCAGTCGCAGGGGCTTCCGCGCCCAGGTTTGGTCTCCCCGCGGCCCCCAAAAAGCCGCGCTCCAAAGGTCACTCTTACCCAGGGTCACTCTTGCGTGTAGCCGAACGGGGTGTGGTGTAAAGGGATGTGGTGCCAGTCTTGGATCTGGCGAGGTTATTTATCGTAGACAGCATCGCTGTTTCCACGATTGGCACCACATCCCTTGATGCCACACCCCTTTCCAACCTCCAGAGTCTTGTTCGCCACGCAAGGGGTTCGGACCACGGCCAGACTACGCGCGCACGCTGATATCCAGGATCACCACTGGTCGCGCCCCGCGCGTCCCAGGCCGAAGAGTTGCCCTCCCACCTTGGGGAGGCCTCGCGGGGGGGCGGAGATGACCACGCATCGCGGCGCGATGCGCGAAATTTAGTTACTTATAAGTATCCGCGGCTTGCCCGTGACCAGCCCCCTCGGCCACGCTTGCTTTCGGCGAGCAGCCCGCAGATGTGGAAACGCCGGAGCGCAGCAGGCCGCCAAGCAGCATATCAACCGAGCGTCGGCCGAAAGCGAACCCTCTTTCCGCCGTGTTTGCCCTGCCCGGCTGGTCTTCAGACGCCAAGCAGGACCCGGCCTGGCTTCCACTGATCGCGTCATCAAGTGGGTTTGAGACTCGAAACTTTGGGGGTTTGGCTCGCGCGTGGGCATTGCAGAGGGTTCCCCCCAAGGCATCCTCCAACGCATTTCTGGAGCGCTCCTCATGACCGGTCATGCTGCGAAGCTTTCTCGGGGGCGTTTGTGTTCGCCGCCCTGGGGAGTCAGTGTTTTTTGGGGGGTTGGTGGGGAGCTCTTTACCAGACCATGCCCCTTTGAACCCCCTTCATGCGAGTTTGCCGCGCACGTCTGGCGGCCCGAGCCCGACTGCACTACAGGTGCGGGGTGGGCGGTGCGATCGCTGCGAGTTGCACCAGCGGGGTAAACGCCACCAAAGTTGGCTCGGGACCCAGCGGGCCGCAAAGGTCAACCTGTCCGCGCGACGCGTCGTGTCCGCGTGATTTCCCCAGAGGGACACAGGAAGAGGAGGGGCGCGAAGGCAGAAGGAAAAGGACGGAGGAGGGTTGGGGGAGGAGGGGGAGAACAGGAGGAGGAGGCGGAGAAGGTGGAGAACGAACGACCACGACCACGACCACGACCACGACGACGCCCACGACGACGATCGCGACCGCGACCGCGACCACGACCACGACCACGACCACGACCACGACCACGACCACGACGACGACGACGACGACGCCGACGCCGACGCCGACGCCGACGACGACGACGACGACGACGACGACGACAACGACGACGACGACGACGACGACTGACGCCCCCTCACCCCCTTCGACTGGAGCGGTCGGCCCCCCCCTCCTCTGGCCCCCTTGCGCACCCCGCCTTGCTGCCCCGGCGCACCCCGCCCTGCCCGGCCCCGCCCACCCCCCCCTGCCCCGTACCGCCGCCACGCCCGCCACTGTGCCGCCATGCCCCGCGGGACTCCACGCCCGGGCCCGCCGCTGCTCTGGCGAGGCGATAGGCGTGGCAGGGCCCCCTCTGCACCGCCTCGCTGCTGCAGGGCCTCCACCACCCCCGAAGCTCCGCTGCTGGGCGGCCCCGGCTCCGTCCTCGGAAAAGACCCGCGCGGGGCCCAGGCGGGGATCACCACGGTCATGACCAGCAACCGGGCGCCGGAGGACCTCTACTCCGGTGGCCTCAACAGGACGGGGCGCTTCTCGCCCGCCCCGCACGGCGTTTCCTCCCGCCGCCGCGGCGGCCCGCGGCGGGCGCGATGGCAGGCGGAGAGGGGGCGAGGACGGCGGTGGGATAATGGGACAGAGGTATAATGGGGACAGTGGTGGGCACAGTGGGGACGGTGGTGGGAACAGTGGGACAGCGGCGGGGACAGTGGGACAGTGGGGACAGTAGGACAGCGGTTGGGGCCGTGGAGAAAGTGGGGAGAGTGCAATCGTGGTGGGAACAGTGGTGGGGACAGTGGGGACAGTGCGACAATGGTGGGAGCACTGGTGGGGACAGTGGGGACGGTGGTGGGAACAGCGGGGACAGTGGTGGTGAGGACAGTGGTGCTGGGGACAGCAGTGGGGGATGTGGTGCGGACGGTGGTTGGGACTCGGGAGTCGTTTGCTGGCGGTGAGCGTGGTGGGGGGGAAGAGTTCGAACCGGTAGTGACCACCACCACCCAGTTTTCGAGGGGGGGGGGTTCGAACCGGTAATGACCCCCCCCAGTTTTCGCGGGGGAGGCGGGGGGGGTCGAATTGGTAATGACCCCCTCCCTCCGGTTTTCGAGGGGGGGGGGTTCGAACCAGTAGTGACCCACTCCCGGTTTTCTGGAGGGGGGGAGGGGTTCGAACTGCTAGTGACCCCACTCTGCTTTTCTGGGGGGGAGGGGTTTGAACCGGTAGTGACCCCCCCCCCCGGTTTTCGAAGGAGGAGGGGGTCGAACGGGTAGTACCCCCCCCGGTTTTCGGGGGGGGGTTCAAACAGGTAGTGACCCTCCCTGGTTTTCGAGGGGGGGGAGGTTCGAACCGGTAGTGACCCCCGCCTGGTTTTTTGGAGGGGGGGCGGGAGGGGTTCGAACTGGTAGTGACCCCCCTCTGCTTTTCTGGGGGGGGGGGGGGGAGGGTTCGAACCCGTAGTGGCCCCCCCTGGTTTTCCGGAGAAGGCGGGGGGGGAGGGATTTGAACCGGTCGGAAGGGGGGGGGTAGAGGGATAGGGGGGGTTTTGCCGGGGGAAGGGGAGGGGGGTTCCAGCGGGGGGGGGGTTTGCGGAGGGGGGCGGGGGGATCCCCCGGGCTCCGGAGAAAGAAGGGGGGGATTTTCCATAGTAAAGCGGCGGTGGATCACGCTTTCTCTCATCTTTTATCCCCCTCCTCCACCTCCTCCACCTCCTCCTCCTCCTTGACGCCCTCCTCCTCCTCCTCCTCCTCCTCCTCCTCCTCCTCCTCCTCGTCCTGCTCCTCCTTCCATCGAGGATGCTCGGTTGCCTCCCCGACGCCAGCGAGGCACGTCTACCTGCCGCCCTTCCTGGACGCCCTGCAGGCGCACTGCAAGGTGGTGCCGCTGGTGTCGGAGACCGACTACCGAAGAGAGCAGGCGCCCCGGGCCGGATGAGGTTTGGAGGAAGAGGGAGCAGGAGAGGGGGAGGGCGGCAAGGGAAGGATGACGAAGGAGGGGAGCGAGGGGGGAGGAGATATAGACAAGGGGGGTGGAGGGGAGGAGTATGAGGAAGGGGTGGATGGAGGGCGGAGTAGAGTATGAGGAAGAATGGGTGGATGAGAAGGAGGGCGACGAGTAGCAAGGGGGTGGGGGACTGGTTGGGTGAGAGAGAGAGAGAGAGAGAGAGAGAGAGAGAGAGAGAGAGAGAGAGAGAGAAGAGAGAGAGAGAGAGAGAGAGGAGGAGGAGAGAAGGAGGAGGGGGGAAGGGGGAGGAGCAGGGGGAGGAGAGGGAGAAGGGGGAGAAGGGCGAGAAGGGGAAGGGGGGAGAGGGGGGAGGAGGAGGAGGAGGAGGAGAGAGGAGGAGGAGGAGGAGGAGGAGGAGGAGGAGGAGGTGGAGGAGGAGGAGGAGGAGGAGGAGGGATGAGGATTAGGAGGAGAGTGAGGAAGGAGAAGCAAAGGAGACGTCGTGGTGGAGGAAAAGAGAACAAGGTTGGTGGAGGAGGGGGGGGGGGGATAGGGGAGGGAGCGGGCGCACGCTGGGCCCGCCGCCCCAGCGCTCCCAGGGTCCCCTCGCAGAGGCCGAGTTACCACGGCCCGCGCCCACACCCTCCAGACAAAAGGGCGAGCAGCAGCAGCAGCTGCAGCAGAAGCAGCGCTCTCCGAGACGGTCGCGAGCGCAGGCCGCGAGCCCGAGGAGCACGCTGCGCATTGAGAGGCATCGGTGGACCATCAGTGCACGAGGTTAGTCTGCAGAGTCGCCAGGAACACCGCGCGAGAATCCCGCGACAATTCGCGCCTTGAGAACAAAAACATAAGCACGACGGGAGGTTTTTGGCCGCTTCCAGCCTCTAGACCTGTGGGCATCCTCGCCAGTCCTGGAGCCGCCAAAACACCTCGGGATGAAAAATCGGCCCCGGTGTAAGGGTCGAGACGTCCGGGAAGCCCGTATTGAAATTCTAGACGCTTCGCGAATCCCCACCAGCCCAGAGAACGGAGAGAGACAGGCGCTGTCCAAAGGGGACGCACCTGGGAGCGACAGCGGGCACAGGCCCGAAGGCGAACGCCAGCGAAAGGGACCCTTCCCCACGTGCCACAAGGCCGCGTCTGCCCTGGCCGCCAGACGCGTTCCGACCCCAGCCTGGCGGCCAACCATGCGGCCTGCAGTTCCCCGCAACAGTCTGCCAGGCGTGCAGCCGGAACTGTCGCGAGCAGATCGCGAACCCCCCATCCAGGACAACGAGGCCGGTACGTCGGAGACTTGCGGCCGGGATACACGGCGGCACCAGGGGCCCGACCCGCGTCATGGCCAGAGCCCAAGGACCCCGACACGGGACAACAGCTGTACAAAACAGGAATCAACAACGTCCAGTGGGACCTCCCCGGGGAGACACCAGGCGAGGCGACACGACGGTTCCAAGTCACATTGGGACCAATGTTCACTGGCACCTGGCACGCTTTCGCCAGGCGGCAGTCTGCGCCCGGCAGCAAGGGCGCGCTCGACCCGCTTCGGCACGACCCGCAAACTTGCCACCTCTTCCTGGAATCCTTCCGCAGCCACAAGTGCGACGTACGGGTCCTCAGCGAAGCGCTGGGCCTCGACGTCGACTGGAGTTGGGCGTGGCAGCTGCACCTGGGTCCGAGCGGCGGAGTGAGCAGTGGTCAACACGCTGCAAAGGGCCACCCGAATAAACAGGCCCCCAGGAAGCACAGAAAACAGTGGTGGGCCGTCTCCCCACAGTAGCCTTGCTACCCCCTCGAGGCATCCCTGCGAGTTGCTACCGCGGTATGCGTCTCGACTCCTGCTTCGTTCAGAACTTATACTTATTTATCTTGGCCGTTGTCTACGTGCTGCGTGTGTGGCTATACCGTCGACCTCAGTTATTTTATCCTCTGTCTGCGCGCTGCGCGTGTGGCTATACCGTGGACAGTTTGGTTTTCTACTCTGGGATCCACCTTCTCTGTTGATACGAGTTGTACACCGTACTCATCAGCGCGATTGGGTTTCTCTTTCGTCCTCACTCTTGGTTCTGGCGGGTTGTTGTCGGACGTGCCGCGCTTGTCCATCGGAGGAAACACGCTGTGAGGGTGTGTGACGGCGGTGGAGGATGCGCCTGGAGGAAGGCGTGCGGCACCCAGGGAAGGCTGCAGCACAGACCCCCAGCCCGGTGGACAGGCGAGCGAGACCCCCCCCGCGGTGACTGAAGTTCACCCACAGGGAGCGGTGGAGGGATCAAACAGACGAGACCCATTTCGGTCAGCACCGTCACTGTGGGCCGCCTCATCCTTCTCCTCCTCCAATTCACCGTTCGCGCGGCTCTCGGCTGCGCCTCCTTTCCTCCCCCTTCCCCCCTGGGCCAGCACAGCATAGTTTGCCTGGGCTGGCCTTGACTGCGGCGACACGCCGACGACGGTGCCGACGGCGACGTTTTTCCCCCCCCCTCCTGCGGCGCCAACGTCGACGACGGAGCCGTCTGATACGCCTGACCCGGCTTCGACTGGGACGCCTGCGCCGACGACGGTGCCGACAGCGACGCCCTGTCCGTCTCCGACATGCTCAGTCTGCGTGTCGCAGGGGCTCGCCTCGGAGACGTCGGCTGCGGTGACTCGTGCGGCCAGCGCACGTCGCCAGGGTACGGCACGGGCAGCGTGGCAGGTGTGGTTTTGCGATTGAGCGACGCCTAATCCGGCCCCCACTGCAACGCCAGAGCCGACGTCGGTGCCGACTGCGACGCCTGACCCAGCTTTGTCTGCGACGCTGCGCCGACGTCGGAGACGACGGCGATGCCCTACCCGATCCCGACATGCACCCCAGGCTGCGTGTCGTAGGGTCTCGTGTGCGGTGACGACGGCTGCGGTGGTTCGTGCGGCCTGTGCTCGGAGCCAGATCCCCGGACGTCTGCGTCCCGAGTTTTTCCTGGCCTCCCGCCCCCCGGTGCTGGGCGACACGCTGCCCGCTCGCCCCCCCCTTGCGTGTCGCCGAGGCCGCCGCTTCGGCTCCTCCACAGGGAGCGGTGGAGGGACCACAGAGGTGCCTCCGACCACACAGCATCGAAGCGGTGTTGCCTCTTCCTTCTCCTCCTCCAATTCTCCGGTTTGCGCGGCTCTCGGCTGCGTCTCCCTTCCTCCTCCTCCTTTTGTCCAGCTCCACCGGAGCACTCGGACATCCATGGGCACCTGGAGGCTCATTGGCAGGGCTCCGAGGTGCATACTGGCAGCAGCGGCTGCCAAGGCAAGATCTGGACAGCCATGGTCAGAGCCAGTCTGTCCCCGCAGGCACGGGATCCTCCGGCCCATGGAACGGGCGCGGATCGCCCGCGTGGACTAGGTTTGGTTCGAAAGCGCTCCAGGTGCTGGGCTACGGCAAGGTGCAGACCTGCACGCCTCCCCGCTCCAGCACCACCTGAGGCCGGACCTGGGGTGAGCGTTGTCCTGGCAAGTGGTTTATCTTTTGGCAGGTCACTGCGGTTCCCCCGGCAGGTCCGCCCCTGTTACTTCGATTGACGCTCGCGACTTTGTGCCCCCGTCCCCTGTGACGGATATGTTGCCCGCGTTGTACGCCGACGTCGTCGACGACTCGCTTCCCATGGCGGGCGTCGCCTTCGAGGTCTTGCTACTGCACAAGTGGTGTATCCTTTGGCAGTTCATCTCGGCCCTCCCGCAGGGTAGTCCGGGGTACTCGACCAGTGCTTGCAGCTGTCCCCCCCCCGACTTCAGAGTCAGGCAAGTTGCAGGTTTTGGACTCAGTAGACAAGGCCGCCGTTTCCTTGAATAGGACGGCCGCTCATGCCCAAGTGCATCCTATGAGTCCTTGTGAGTGAGGCCGCCTTCTGTTCCCCCCCTCTCCTGTCCCCGCGTGCCCTCGCGCCCGCCATTTTTTCCCGTTTCTTTCTCTTCTTCCTTGGCCTCCTCTTCTGATGGGCGGTGCGGCCACCCCGGCCACTCCGCGCCGCTTCAGCGCAGCGCGCCCCGGCCCTGAGCGCCGTTCGGCACGGTCAGAGCCTGGCGCCACTTGTTCGACAGCTCCTTCCGCCCCCAGTTCGTAATGAGGGTCATTTTGTCCCTGGCACGTGCACCCGCTGCCGCGGCCTATGCGCCGCTGCAGCTAATTATCTCGCCCTGTGCCCCAGCCGAGACCGTCCCGCTCCCTGGAGCCGTCCTTGGAGCCGCCAATCAAAAAGAATCCCACCAGCGGCCTGTTCTGCGCCCTGCAGCTAATTAGGGTTGTTTCCGTGCCCTGGACAGCTATTGTTGGCGCCTGCGCTTCCGCTCGCGCCCGCGACCAAAAAAAATAATCCCCACCAGCCCGCGCAGAAATGAGCCCCAGGGGAGTGGAGGTTATGAGGGAAGCGGGGAAGCATGCAGAAGAACAAAAGGCGGGGCGAGCCGCCATATACCCCAAGAGGGGGAGGATGTAGGAGGAGCCGTCGTCGTCGGAGTAGGAGGAGGAAGAGGAGGAGCAGGAGGGGGAGCAGGAGGAGGAGCAGGAGGAGGAGGAGGAGGAGGAAGATGAGGAGGAGGAGATGGAGGAATGCGAGGACGAGGAGGACAAGGAGGAGGAGAAGGAGAAGGAGGAGGAGGAGGAGGAGAAGGAGGAGGAGAAGAAGGGGGAGGGGGAGGAGGGAGGAGGAAGAAAAAGTGGAGGAGGAGGAGGAGGACAATGGCGAGCTTGGGGGCGTTTTCGGCCGCTTGGGGGGCCTCTTGGCGGTCCCGGGGGCCTTTTGCGTATACCGGAGAGCCTCTTGTGGCCTCTTGGGGGTCTCTTGGGGGCCTCTTGGAGGCCTCTTGGGGGCCTCTTGGGGCCTCTTGGGGCCCTCTTGGGGCGCTCTTGGGGCGCTCGTGGGAGGTTTCGGGGCGCTCTTGAGGCCATCTTGGAGGAGATCTATCAAAGAAGGGGGGGTCGGTATATTAGCGCTGCCCCTCTAGAGTGCCTCGAATCG